TGCTATTGCTCCAGCCCCTGTCCTATCATTTATAATAAAGCAAATGTATTATTGCTCTGGCATCTATATAAAAATAGTTGAGTTTAAGGGTCACACCCAGTAGTGCTCAGGGTTACTCCTGGCTTTGTGTTCAGGCTTGACTCCTCTCAGGGCTCAAGGGGATTTTATGGGGTACTAGGGATCCAACCCTTGTGGACTACATGCAGGGCAAACATTTAAAAAAAATATCCATTTTATGTTCTTTTAGGGAAAGTATCTTATTCCCTGTATTATAGCTCCAACTGCATCCTTGGTTGTTTTTAAGATCTCCTGTGGAGAAAGGTCAATTCAAATATCTTGCCATTTTTGGGGGTATGGGGGGAAAGGCCACACCTGCTGGTGTTTAGGGCTTACTCTTGGCTCTGCATTAATGGATCACTGCTGGCAAGGTGCAGTATGGGACTGAGTCAGGGTTGGCTGTGTGCAAGGCAAACTCCCTACTTGTTGTACTGTCTCTCTGGCCCCAACAAACTTTTACTTAAAAAAAAAAGTTTTTGGGGCTGGAGTGATAGCACAGCAGATAGGGCGTTTGACTTGACAAGGCCTACTTGGGTTAGATTCCCAGCACCCTATATGGTCCTCTGAGCACTGCCAGGAGTAATTCCTGAGTGCAGAGCCAGGAGTAACCCCTGAGCACCGCCGGATGTGACCCAAAAAGAAAAAAAAGTTCATATTTTGGCAGGGGTTGGGGGCCCAGGAACAAAGTTCAAAGGGCAGAAGGCTTGCCTTGCATATGGAGGCCCTGAATTTCCACTCCTGTACTTCATAGCTCCTCAGCCACTTAGGATGTGGCCTTGGAGGCTCCCTTCCAAAAAATGTATTGAAGACAATATTGCTTTAGAGCATTGTATAGATTTCAGGTTTATCGCACTATATATTAGTACCTGTGTATATGGCTTCAAGTTCACTATCCAGTGTTTGGTTTTCATCTTTCACCATAAAATTGGCCCATCTTACCTGATATGCCTGCCCTCTGTCTCCTTCACTTTCCTTCTCCTGACCACTGTTTTATTCTTATAAAGACTACATTTTATTTTACTGTTGTAAAGTAACACTTGTGTATGTTTGTGTTGCTGGGGATCAAACCCATGCAAGGCAGTGTTGACTTGCTCTCCCACTGAGCAGTATCTTCAGACAATTATAAATTGTATTTAATGTTCTTCTCTGTTCCTCATTGTTACTGTTTTTGTTTTAGTGGTCTTTGCTACTGCTGCTGCTACTACAAGGACCCAGGATTGCATTTCAGACCATGGTGCTTGTTGTTAGCAGTGTTACCTGCTGGAAGTAACATATTGGTTGTAATGTTGCAGTTTTAGTTGTGCTTGCACTCATGTTTGGGGGTTGTCACACTCTTTGTTGACAGGTGACAGTTGGGGTACTTGCTTGTTGCTGCATTGCTCACATAGAGGCTCGCCTGGGCTCACTTCTGTCTATGGCTCTTCATCATTTTTTTTCCTTTTTTTCATGGATAGTCAGGACCTCTGCTTAAGGTCCATTCTTCCTAGGTCTGTTCTCAAGGATCACACCTGGGGATACTCCCGGGGACTGTATGTGGTGCCGGAATTGTCATATGCAAGGCGAACATCTTAGCTGTTGTAGTTGGGATAGCTCTTCAGCCCTGAGCTTTTTATTTATTTATTTATTTATTGCTTTTTGGATCACACCCAACAATGCACAGGGTAACTCCTGGTTCATGCACTCAGGAGTTACTCCTGGCCATGCTCAGGGAACCATATGGGATGCTGGGAATCAAACCCTGGTCGACCACGTGCAAGGCAAATGCCCTACCCGCTGTGCTATTGCTCCAGTCCTGCTTCTTGTTAATTTTGAAGCTTGCCTGGGTTCACCTTTTTTTGCAGTCACTTGTGTCACTCGACTGTAGTGCATCTAGAAATTACTTGCAGTTGGGGGGCGGGAGAGATATAACAGAGGGTAGGGCATTTGCCTTGCACGCGGCCAACCCGGGTTCGATTCCCAGCATCCCATATGGTCCCCTGAGCACCATCAGGAGTAACTCCTTAGTGCAGAGCCAGGAGTAACCTGACCCGCCCCCCCAAAATGAGTGGAGCTGCCAGGCTCAAAGAGTAAGGCTGCCGGGATGCCGGCTGTGCTTGGTGCATATTGCACACCAAGGATTTGAGCTCTTACCATATGCCTGGCCATGCTGAGAGTGGGGCGGACACTCTTAAATCAGACTGATCTTTTGTTAGTGTTTTTGGTCTACTCTTGACAGTGTTATGCCCAGATTGATATTCAGGGTTTGTTCCTGATAGTGCTCAGGGGGGGACATGTGCTGCTAGGGATTGAATTTGGGGCTCCCCATCCAAAGTATACTCTCTAGCTCTTTAACCTGTGTCTCTTGTCTTACCTAGATCACCTTTTTTTTTAATTTGGTTTTTTGTTTGTTTTTAGGGTCACACTTAGAAGAGCTTATGGCTAATTCCACTTATTTGCTCTGGGTTTACTCCTGGCAGTGCTCGAGGGGACCATGCTCTGATGATGGAAAGCAGGTGCTGTAGCCCTAAGCTATATCTCTCTGCACCCTAGTTCACTTTTTTTTTTGTTCTTTGGGTCACACTCAGCGATGCACAGGGGTTATTCCTGGTTCATGCACTCAGGAATTACTCCTGGCTGTGCTTGGGGTGCCATATGGGATGCTGAGAATTGAACCCGGGTCGGTCGCATGCAAGGCAAACACCCTACCCGCTGTGCTATCACTCCAGCCCCCCCTAGTTCACTTTCTAAATATAGAGAAGGTATGCTTTTGGGGCCAGAGCTGTAGTACAGCGGGTAGGGCATTTGCCTTGCACAGGGCAGACCCAGATTTGATCCCCAGCATCCTATCTGATCCCCTGAGCAATGCTAGAATTCCTGAGTGCAGAGCCAGGAGTAACCCTGAGCATCGCTGGGTTGACCCACAAAAACACACAGAAAAAAGTAAGCTTGCCCTTCAAACTCATATTATCCCTCAAACACATCACAAAAACACACTTGACTGTCTCTCTGTATCTTTGCTTGCCCATTTCTACTCTGGAGAAGCCAGAATTCTGTCTTGAACATGTTTTCCCTCTCTTTCTCTCTCCTCATATCTTTCTAAGCAAGTTTCATTCAATAAAAACTATTTTGCTTCAGGGGAAGGAAAGAGTAGGGGGAGGGTGCTTGCCTTGCACACAGCCATTCCGGGTTAGATCTCTGGCATCCCACATAGTCCCCTGAGCACCATCAGGAATAATTCCGGAGTGCAGAGCAGGAAGTAACTCCTGAGCACCGATGGGTGGGCCCCAAAAGAAAACAACAACAACAACAACAAAAAAAACAACAATCTTGCTTCACTAATAATATATATAGTATATATATTAATATATATAGTATATATACACTAATATATAGTATATATATATATATATATACGCACTAATCTATAACATATATGGCCAACCCGAGTTCGATTCCTCCACCCCTCTCGGAGAGCCCGGCAAGCTACCGAGAGTATCTCGCCCACACAGCAGAGCCTGGCAAGCTACCCGTGATGTATTCAATATGCCAAATATAGTAACAACAAAGTCTCCAATGGAGACGTTACTGGGCCCGCTTGAGCAAATCAATGAACAACAGGAGGACAGTGATAACATATATATACACACATGTGCCTTTGCTATGAGAAATGATTAAGTGTAACACTTATAATGGAAAAAACTGAATTCTATTTCTTTTCCTTTTTTGTTGTGCTCAGGGATCAAAAAACAAAAAAAAAACCTTTTTGGAATAGACTTTCAATGTTATAGATGAATGTATTCATATTGTTTTCTTCACATAATAATAGACATCTGATTATGGAGAATATCCGTTCTTAGAAAAAACACTGAAATATTCAGAGATAAAATAGTAATATCCTCAAAAGATTCAGTGATTCAGTCAAAAAGAAAACCAAAAAAATGTGCTCACACACATACACATGGAAAGTAAACACGAAATGTTAAGAATTGGTTAGGGTTGGGCCTGGAGCAATAGTACAGCAGGTAGGGCGTTTGCCTTGCACTGAGGCCAACCCAGGTTCGATCTCCAGCATCCCATATGGTCCCCCAAGCACCGCCAGGAGTGATTTCTGAGTGCAGAGCCACGAGTCACCCCTGAGCATCGCTGAATGTGACCCCAAGAAGCCAAAAAAAATAGAGAAATAAAAGTTAAAAAAAATTGGTTGGGGTTAACAGGATTGCATTCATTGTTTTTCTCATAATTTTTCTGTAGACTTGATATATTTGAGAACAAAAAGCTGAGAAAGTATAAAACAAGAAACAATTTCTGTTGTGTTTAGCATCTTCAGAGTAAAGCTAACTACTTTGATCAGCTAAGAAAATAGTTGTGGGGGTTTGGAATGTAGCTCAGCTATAGAACATTGGCCTTGCACGTGTTGTGACTTCTGGTTCCACCACAAACAACAGCACAAAGTTAAAGTAGCATCTTTCAAAAACGTAATTACACCTGACAATTATTGAAATAAAGGAACCTCTTCAGCGATCATTTATGTCCCATTATCAACTTGACTGCTTCCTTTCTGGGCGGCCCTATGGCGGGGGGGGGGGGGGGGGGGGAGGGGGAAGGGGTTTGGAGTCAGCAAGGCCTAAATACGAGCCTTGGCTGGATAAACTGTTCAAGCTCTCAGGATCATTTCCTCCTTGTCAGGTGCACAAAGCAACTCCCCGGTGGGGAGTGGTCCTGTCACATTGTTCTAGGCAGAGTGCTGGCTTAAACCCGGCTTCTTCAATTCATATGTTAAAAAAGGGTCCCATCTAATTTTCACGCCATTTGCATCTTCGACTTAAAAACTCCATCACTCCGGTGGGGTGGGAGGGTGCCGGCGAGCCGGTGACTTCTCCAAGGTCACCTGGCTAGTGAAGGACCCAGGTGTCTCGCAGCTCCGGCTTCGGGTGCGCCCTTTCGCACTGCCCGCGCCGGAGAGGGAGGACGCGGCGCTCATGGGGATGCAAGGATGTAGGGGCGCCAAGGGAGAGAAGAGGCCGCGCGAGGAGCGGTGGTGCGAGAGCCGCGGAGGCGCCGGCCCGCTCAGGGCTCCCGGCGAGGCGCGCGGCGGCGGCGGCGCCACCGGCCGGGGTACGTTCGGGACAAGTGCGGCTGCGGACGGAGAGGGTCGCGCGGGCGGGCGGCCCGGGGAGAGCCGTGCGGGGAGGCCTGGGGCCAGCCCGCGAGAGCGCGGGGAGGCGGAGGCCCGAGGCTTAGGACAAGTCCTGGAGGGCCGAGGGCGGTCGCGGCGTGTGTATGTGTGTGTGTGTGTGTGTGTGTGTGGGGGGGGGGGAGTGTGTGGTGGGGGAGGGGCAGAGTGGCCTCCGCGCAGGTAGGATGCGCGCGCCCGGGCGCGCGCGGGTGGGTGGGTGAGGGGCGCGGCGCGCGGCGCGCGGCGCGGGGGTCCCGACCCCTACCCCCGCGGCGGCGGTGGGGGCGGGGCGGGGGCGGGGCCGTCGGGGGGCGGGTCCTGCCGGGCCCCCCGCGGGAGCGGCGGCGGCGGCGCAGGCGCGGTGCCCGCCTCCTCCTGGCCGGCGGAGCGAGTGGAGAGCTGCAGCCGGGCAGGGCTCCCGCGTCTCCGCCGCCGCCGCCGCGCAACGCCGCGCCGCGCCGCGCCGCGCCCCCTCCCCCCGCCGCCGCCGCCGCCGCCGCCGCCGCCGCGTCGGGATGAGCTCCCGGAAAGGTGAGTGGCCCGCGGGCGCCCCCTCGTCCCCGCCACGCGGCCCCGCGGGCCGGCCCACCCGACCGTTAATGTGTCTTCTCTTTCCTCTTCCCCCCACCCCCCACCCCCCACCAGTGTTGGCCATTCAGGCCCGAAAGCGGAGGCCGAAAAGAGAGAAACATCCGAAAAAGTGAGTCCGCACTGTGCTCAGAACCCCGTCCCCTCGCCCTGGCGCCCCCCGCAACCCCCCCGCCCCAGTCCGGCGCGCCCTGGGGAGCACGCGGGGGAAAAGTTGTCCCGATCCCCTCTCCCTCACCCGGTGGTTCACGCGGGCCGGCTGGGCACAGGCTCCTTTCCCACCTCCCTTAACCCTCCCCGGGTCTCCCCCAGGGACGCCGCGCTCGGCTCCTGCGCGCCCCAGGGGGGTGCCCAGGGGGGAGGGGCGCGCGCGTGCTGCGGTCCGGTCCCCCGAGGTCCTGGGGGGGGGTGGGGGGCGCCTCCCAGCTCGCCGCATCTTGGCCTGAGGCTGGTGGTGGGGGGGTGGGGGACCGGCGCGGGCAGTGCGCGCCCCCTCCTTTCCCGGGGCGCGCAGAAGTGGCCGGGGGTGGGGGGGTCGCGGGTGTCCTGTCGGCTCCCGGGAGGGGCGCTGCGATCGCGCGGCCCGGGGCGCGACGGTGCGGGCGTGGGGCTTGCGGCGCCGCCCGCTCCCACCTGGGCGCCCGGGACCCGCGTCTGGGGTTGGCGCGCGCGCCCGCGCGCGTGTCGCCTCTTCCTCCCCGCGCACTCCCCGGGCGCTCCGGCCTCTTCTGCGGAAAAGCCGAACGGCTGGCGGGTCTTTCGCTGGGGGCGGAGCGGGTGTATGTGTGCGGGGGTGGGGGCGCCCCGGGAGCTGGCGGACCTGTGCGTGTGTGCGCTCGGCTCTCGGATTCGAAACTTTGCGCCCCGGCCGAGCGTGGTGATGACTCGGCGGCGCCAGGGTCGCGCGGGCGGCGCGGCGGCTGCGGTGGGCGTGTGCGCGCGCGCGCTCCCCGGCGCGGCTCGTGCTGATGGGTATGCGGGGCGCTGGGGACCAGAAACGTGTGGCCCGCTGGGGCCTCGCCCCGAGGAGGATCCTGCCCGAGACCGCAGCGGGAGCAGCGTCGCCGCATTTCGTCTTAGTTAAAAAAAAAATAAAATAAAATGGTGCATGCGCGCATCCTGCATGGTTCCACCGTCTCTGATTTTTAGAATTAAAAAAAAATATTTTTCGCCCTTCTGATCAGCAGCAACAAAATCTGATAGTTTTAGCACCATGGGGTGCTATCTGTGCTTGGAATAACGTTGGGGGAGCAGCCTGCGGCACGCCTGGGTTCTTCCTGTTCCCCCACCCCGCCGCGTTCTCTGTTCCCGGTTCTCTGTACCCAGCGGCCAAGTCTGCGAAAAGTTAAAAGTCAACACACTCCCTAAGTCGTAATAATGTGTGGAAAGCGTGGCAGTGTTTTTGTTCGTTTGAAACGGAACTAAAAATGTGGAAGTATTTTTAAGATTTGACAGAAATGTAAATATACTTTGTCAAAATGTAAATTTTGGGGGGTGGGTGGGGTAGGGTGCAGGGGATCAAATTCTGAATTTCACGTGTGTGCTCGAGGGAAGTGTTCTGCAGCTGAATCATATCGTTGGCGCTGAGACAATACCTTTAAACAGGTGTTGCATTAGATGTCACAGAGGGAGAACAGTGGGGTAAACCTTGCGCGTAGTTTACGGAGGAACCTGGGCGGTCCTTGGGTCCCCTAGTAAAGCCTGCCCGGGTGTCTGGGAAGTCAGTCTCCAGTAGGCATGCAGCATTGCATCCTGGGGTCCTCGCGTCTGACCACCGCTGGGTTGGCTGAAAAAATTGCAAGGAGAGGCACTCTGGCTTTCTGAGCGACCCGGTATCTGGCCCTTCTTCCTTGCTAAAAGGGGTAAAAAACCCCAACAACCCTCAGTTGAGTGGCTGGGGAAATGGTTAACTGGACCGAATGCTTTGCAGGCAGGATCCCTGGTTTTGTCCTTGGCACTATCTGGTTCCCTTGAGCACTTCAGGAATTTCTGGGGAGAACCCAGCAGGGTGAAACCCCAGAACACTTCAGGCTTTGACCCAGGAACCAAAATCCCAAATCCCATCAGGATGAGGAAAAAGGACTTGAACTAACTAGTGTGTAAAAATTGCATATTCTGATAATTTCAGATGCTTTTTCGTTGTTTATGGACCATACTCAGCAGTCAGTGCTTACTTTTGGCTCTCTATGTTAAGGGATCACTACTGGTCCTGTTTGGGAGACAATTCAAGCCCAGGTTTGAACCCAAAGTCTGCCATGTACAAGGAAATTGCCTTACTGGTAATACTCCTTCTCGCCCTGTTTTTTAGATTTCTTTGGAGGGGGGGTCTTATGTAGGGCGGGGGGTCACACCCAGCAGTGCTCAGGGATTCTCCCCCTCTACTCAGGGATCACTTCTGGTGGATCTCAAGGGGCCATATGGGATGCCAGAGATTGAACAGGAGTTGGTCATGTAAAAGGCAAGCTCCCAATCTACTGTGGTATCACTCCAGCCCATAATTTCAGATCTTAAAAAAAAATTACTAGCCTTTGGGGCTGGAGCACTACTAAAATGGGTAAGATGCTTGCATTGCATGCAGCCAATCTGATTTGATCCCCAGTACCCCATATGGTCCCCCCCTAGCACTTCCAAGAGTGTTTCCTGAGCACAGAGCCAGGAGTAAGCCACGTGTGGCCCTAAAACAAAACAAACAAAAATTAGCTTTCAAGTCACTCAGAACCTTACATTTGGCATTTCCTCTGTAATTGTTAAAAGTTTAGCCTATAAAAGTTTTTGCCTATAAAGAGAGCTGTAATGTTTAGAATCCTGGATACTGAGTTATAATCATAGCCTTCCCTCATAGTTGTTTCCATGTAGCCCATTAAGTTAGAAATGAAGAGGAGTTGAAAAAAACATGGCCCTGGAGCCAGGGATGTAGGTCTGTGGTGGAGCACTTGTCTTGGAACAAAAAATAAGAGATATACCCTGCTATCTTCAGAATTTACTCCTGGCTCTGAGCTCAGTGATTACTTCTAGCAATGTCCTGGGGACCACATGGGGTATTGGGGATCAAATCCAAGTTGGCCGGGTGCAAGGCAAGCCACTGAACTGCTGAAACTCACTGTGATCAGATTTCAGAAACAACCCTTGCCCCCAGCCCCTCTAACCTTCCAACCCTCCCATGATTAAATGAGCTGGTTGGTCTGCAGAGTAGTTGGTAAGAAAAAATGAGCATATTTATGTACTTGAAGCAATTTGCTTTTTGACTCAGTTCTTTGAATCAAGATATGCTTGATAGATTTGATTTTTGTTTCTGTTTTTGTTTTGTTTACTCAGGAAAAATTCTTGAGCACAACCAGCAGTGCTTTTGGCTCTGCACTCAGGGATCACACCTGGTGGTGATTGGGGGACCACTTGGGATGCCAGAAGTCCAACCTTTCTTGGCTGTCTGCAAGGAAGGTGCCCTACTCTATGTGCTATTGCTCTGGCCCCCAACAACAAATCTTTAAAGATTGATTTTATTCAACTTTGTGTTATATTATTTTTTACCACTTTTTTTTTCTTTTTGGGTCATATCCGGCAATGCACAGGGGTTACTTCTGTCTCTGCACTCAGAAATTACTCCTGGCAGTGCTCAGGGGACCATATGGGATGCTGGGAATCGAACCCTGGTTGGTTGCGTGCAAGGCAAATGCCATACCCAATGTGCTCCAACCCCCTACTTTTTTTTTTAATGTTGCAAAATTCAATACTTATTTACATGCTTTTTCTAGGAGATGGTGATAGTTTGGGCAAAAGGAAAATCCCTTAGGATGTGTTCATTCCCTAAGGTGACAGATAAAGTTTTCTGATAGTACTATGAGTTAGGGATAAAATTAAGTGGGAGAATTACGTTAGTTGTTTTTATTGGGGTTTGGGTCCAATCTAAGAGTACTTGGTGCTCATTTCTGCTCAGGGATTTTGCTGGTGGTGCTCAGGGGACTCTGCCATGCTGGGGATGAACCTTGACCTCCTGCGTGCAAAACACGTGCTTAGTCCGATGAGCTCTCTGTTCCCAAGTTTAGAAGTTTTAGAAATAAATGATGAATGACATTTAAACGGAATGCTGGTCCCAAAGCTAATCACTTTTGTTTATCTTGTGACAGCCCTATGAGGTAGGCACTGTTAACTGCCATTTTACTGATGAGGAAATACTGTGTGTCTACGTCAGTGACATATCCAGCTATTATGTTGGATCTCAGGCAGGCTGGGACCAGAGTCCATGCATCTCTCGGAGGACGTGACATTTGAACAGAAGCAAGAGCGTGGATGAGATGGGTGTGTGGCAAAGGCCCTGGGGAGGAATGTTGGATGGAACCACAGGTCCTGGGGAGCTCAGATGCGTCCACAGATGTTGGTAGGGTGAATTCCAAAGGAGTCAGGGAGTGACTTTGTGGGCCTCTGAGAACCTTAAGAGTGAAAATGACCAGATGTGATACTGGTTTTGTTAAAAACTAGCTGTGGCGAATGGATTATGCGGGGCAGAAGAGAACTAGAAGCTGGCCTGCTAGGGGAAGTAATTGTAACTTGGTGTAGTGTGCTCGGAGTGACTGCAGAGAAGCACTAGGAGAGATTGGTACACTGATAGTCTTGGAGGTATTCTCGTTTTACACAACTCTGATAGATAGGGTCAAGTCACACATTTAGCTTTGTGTGTGAACCAAAATTCAGGTCTCCTGATGCCCAGAGGTTTTGCTAACTAATGAATTCTCCAGAGGAGGAAAAGCAGTAATATCTCTAATTTTACATGATATTAATGGACTAGCAAACTTGAATTATGTGACTTCATTGGCATGGCCTGGTGTAAGCAGGCTTTGCTTGTCATTATATACCTATATGTACAAGCTGGCTATTTCGGGTCAGTTTCCCTTTTTTGTTTTTATTTTTTTGTTTTTTTTTTTTTTTTGCTTTTGGGGTCACACCCAGCGATGCTCAGGGGTTACTGGGTTACTCCTGTCTCATGCACTCAAGAATTACTCCTGGCGGTGCTCGGGGGACCATATGGGATGCTGGGAATCGAACCTGGGTCGCCCATGTTGACTGCGTGCAAGGCAAACATCCTATCTGCTGTGCTATCGCTCCAGCCCCTGTTTT